GTGTGCATGGAACCGTTAAGGAACCGTTATTAAAAAAATAAAAAATAAAATAATATTAGTAGTAGTAGTAACAATAACAATAATAATATAATAGAAATAATAACCACCACCACAACAACAATAATAAAATAATATAAGATATTTAACTCACAATTCTAATTTAATCAACGAAAAAGAAGTAATAAATATTGTACATGAGGTTGATATATACATTAAACTCCTTTCTACAAATCAAGTTTTGTTCCATCACATAAATTTTATAAATATAAAATAACCCAAATAACTTGTAGTTGATTGCACATATTTTACTTTACTATTTTTTATAATATTTCTAATTATTAGATTTATTATAAATCAATAGAATGTGATAATATTTTTTTATATCTATACATGCAAACTCAATGTCTTTTTTTTAAAATGTTTTGAAAGACTTGAAGTAGACGTCCTATTCTTGCTACTATGATGACGAGTAACTTTCATCGCTCCGACACTACAACGATTTTTAATGTTTCATTTATTACATGAAAATTTAAATCACTTTTGTTCTATTAAGTGTTCAAAGTTCATTAGTTAAGTTTGAGCTTTAATGTTTGAAGTAATTAGAGCTTCAAATAAAATTTTAATACTCGTGTTTTGAATTTTCGACGTGTTTAAAATTATGTGTTAATTCTTAGACGAGAAAAAATTATTCTAGGAACCGGTAAAAGGAAGAACCGAACTGTTTACTACCGGTTCGGTTCCATAACGATTCCTGATTTTTTATATAGGAACCGAACTGATTTCATTAGTTAAAACTTTTATAACGGTTCCACTCATTTTGAGTAAGAACCGAACTGGTCCCAGCCCTAGAAAAAATTAATACGGGGTATAAAAGAAATAGGTTAATGAAGATGCTAATGCTCATTAAATGACATGTTAGTGTTTCATTGGTCTATCTGAGAGATGCACCGGAACATCACAAAAATGTGAATGCACCGTTGAGCACTTGGGCCTAGGGCTGGGTCTGAAAAACCAAAAATCAAAAATCGAATCAAATTAAACCGAACCGCAACCAAATAAAACCGAACCGCTAAGAAACCAAAACCGAATGTAAAAAACCGAACCGAAGTTGTTCGGTTCGGTTTTGGTTTTTACCCTTCAAAACCGAACCGAACCGAACCGAACAAACCGAACTATTTAAAATATGAAATTTATATGTTAATTGTTAAGCATTAATTCTAAATAATCTTAATATCATCAATAGTCTTTGGTTTTTTTGTGTTAGAGAAATAATGTTCGTGTTATATTTAATTTAATTTAGTTTATAAATTCATTTACACATTCATTGTGTGTAATAATAGCTATAATGAATGATGATCATATGTGTTTACTAGTTATTAGTAGTAATTGACTTTTATTTTTAGATAACTTAAAGATTTTATATTGAAAAAACAATAAATATTAATTTCAACTATATCACATAGAACATATATATTCATGAAAAAATTTCAAACTACTCACAAACAAATTAAATCAATAATATATACAATTTTATCTATCTCGCATATTTATATAATTCAAGACATATTTATCTTTTATCATTTTTATTTTATTTGTCGTTGTATTGTGCTTGAATTCTTTATGTAATATGTTTGATCCTTCTAAGTATTATATCAATTTTAAATCAAGTGAAAAAGTTTTGGTAAAAAAACCGAAAAAACCGAAACCGAACCGAAACAAACCGAACCAATCAAACCGTGGTTCCAAGTTTTGGAGTGTAAAACCGAACCGAAACCGAACCGAACTTTTTACTTTGATTCTACATTTGGTTTTAGGTCAAAACTGAACCGCAGGAACCGAACCCACCCCTACTTGAGCCACCCCTGAATTTATTTATTAGCTATTCATTAGCCATGAATAGTGGCTATATTTAATGCTTCATAAGTCTCTGCTTTCTAAAATCTTCTAATTGTATGTTTTGCATGACAACTTTTTAAAACTTTTCAAAAATTAAAAGATTTTTTTTAGATACTACATGAAGTAGCATTTCAGAAAAGCCTGTGACTTTTAGTATTAATTCGTCCTAACAGTTTGTTTTGAAACAGAACTAAATCAAACAGTCAGTTTTTTACCAAACAACTATCACATTTTCCTTTTAACATCTTTTCAGTCACTAAAAGCTAAAAGTTGCTAAAAAGCTAACAAAAATATCTTTTCACGTAGTTGTGCCAAACATAACCTAAGTGTGAATTAAAAGTGATGTTATTTATTTCTTTGTTAACCAATAAGAAAATGGTAAATAAGTTATTCATAACTCAGCTTTACTATATAAAACAATAGATTTGATCTGCGATTATTTTGTGCATATTTTTTGTATTATTTTTGGTAACTTTAAATTTAATGTTTACTTTGTGCATATTTTTTGTATTATTTTGTGTTACTTTAAATTTAATGTTTTAACTTTTAATGTATTACGATTGGGTTCCTGTACTAAGAGTTTATTAAGAGTTCCCGTACTAAGAGTTTTAATATAGTATGATGATTGGGTTGCCGTACTAACAAGTTGGAGCTAATTTGTAGTGTGTGATTAATTTTATCGGTCCGATTAAAATGCCACAATAAATTGAAGGTTTTAATGGAATAGTTATTAACCAATAAGGTGATGTCATATCAGCTTTTTAAAACTAAGCTTTAGGATGTTTTAAGTCTGGTCTGATCTGGTCTATTTAAGTCTGGTCTGGTCTGAACTAGTCTGGTCTGGTCTGGTAAACGTCTGGCCTCTGTGTATTTTATAACTATCCAAGTCTGGTCTGGTCTTGTCTGTTTAAGTCTGGTCTGTTTAAGTCTGATCTGGTTTGATCTGGTCTGGTCTGGTTTGGGACTGAAAACAGCCCAAAAGAAAACATCCTTACTATATTATATATTAAACTATAGATATGCTAAACTTCATTTCAAACCTCAAAAGTTGAATTTAAAACATAAACACATACGGAGTAACAAACTAGAAATTTTAGTAAATAAAACAAAACAAGATATTCCCTACAATTAGCAACATAATTAGCTGGCAAAAAATTCATTCAAAAAGTACACTAACAGAGCAGTCAACGTCATTCAAAAACTCCACTTGCTGCCAAAAAATCTATACCACCGGGTAGCTTCATGGGCCCATGGCTAAAGGTTGAAGAAGCTCCATTGGTTTGCCGCTTCGATAGGTCCTTCTAAACTCTAAGCAATAGTAGAGAACTAAACACTATTCATTTTAATTAAGGTTTTTGCCTAATATTTTGTGAGTGATCTTACGACCCTCTAGAGTTTGGACCTAATGAGAGGCCTAAGAAGCCAAAGAGAACCAATTAAAGTGAATAACAATTTTAAATAGGGAAAATAGAAACTAATAATCCAACCTTTTAGCGGTCTTCTTTTAATAGTCCCACCTTTTCGTTATTCATGAATAATCCAACCTTTGCACCTCATCTTCATTCACTGGTCCCTGACCGGTTGATGACATGCTATTCCGAGTTATTTTCTTATCTTTGTAAAATATTATCTTTGTGAAAGGTGAAATTAATGGTATAATAGTTTGCAAAGATAAGAAAATAACTCGGAATAGCAGGTCATGTACCGGTCGGGGACCAATGAATGAAGATGAGGTGCAAAGGTTGGATTATTCATGAATAACGCAAAGGTCGGACTATTAAAAGAAGACCGCTAAAAGGTTGGATTATTAGTTTCCATTTTCCCTTTTAAATACTTAAATAACCTATGTTGTAAAAACCGGACCGGAGAGTGACCCGGACAGAAGACTGGGTCACGGGTCAACCCGGACCCGGCGGGTCAACCCGGTCAACGACCGGTATGCCCGGTCAACACCAATACATATAAAAATTAATTACAAGTATATAAAAAGATTAAATTGATTATTACAAAAAGTGTATTCCTTCATAATTTAATAATGATAATAAAATATAAGTAATGTAAAAAACTTTTGTATTTAAGAATATTGATTTTCACAACATTGAAAATACATTGGGATTTAGATGAATAATAAATATGAACATAATATGGAGTATCAATTCCAAAAACATTGGGAGATTATATACATAATTGGATGTTAAGAATATCATTGATTTGTATTTATTAGTATTAAATTATAATTTGATTAATTATTGACCTAATAAACTAACACTAATAAAAATACTCCAGGCTTAAAAGTGTATAAAAGAGCTAAACAACCAAAATTACCTACCGGCTTGTGTAGCACGTTGGTTTGCCCGCTTAAAATTCAAGCAAGTGGCGCAGGTTCGACTCCCGCAGTTGAAGATTTTCCTGGTTTATTTTGCATAATCCGGGCCTGACACAGGCCGGTTCCATCACGAGTTCGGGCGGGTTACTGGTTAATCCCGGTTTTACTCATATTTACGGGTCGATGGTCAATCGGACCGGACATAAGGCCGGGTGACACTACAAAAAAACATTGATTTTGTCAGGGATTTTGTTAGGGATTACAGAAAAAATCGGTCAAACAGTTTTGTCAGGGAAGTATCTCCGACTATATTTGTTTGGGATAATATCCGTAACAAAATCCCCGACTAGACCCTCAAAACGGCCATCGAGCGGAACTTTTTGGCCGGAATATTTGTAAGGGAAAAAATCCCTAACAAAAAAGCTGGGAAAATAGCCGTTTGATTTTGTCAGGGATCGTATCCCTGACAAAAGTCAAAATTTAATATTGTCACGGAGTTTTCCCTGACTAGATAAAAATTGTACGATAGTACATTTTACAATTGTGTCACGGATTGTTCCGTGACACCAGTTAACGTTGGAAGCAATTTCGACCGTTACACATCCGTGACAAAATCCGTGACAAATGTTACCGTTTGATAAAATCCCTAACAAAATCCCTGACAAATTTTTCTATATATACTAGTCATTTTAGCTAGTTTCATACCATTCTTATGGTGTATAATTTTATAGAGTATTATTGTAACACCCCCATTTTTCCCACCAAAATAAAATAACATTTTGAAATGAAAACATCTTTATTATAAAATATATTTAGAGTACAGCGGAAGTCTTTAATGGAAAAACAGGTGTGTCACCGCCACACTCAACCTATACATGATTGAGTGCACAGGCTATCCACCATAAATTCAAGTAGCCATCGGGTAAAACTTATAACAAGTTTATGGATTACAAATTTAAACAATAACAATTAATCAAACGTGTGCAACTAGCGGAACACTCGGGCAGCAAGTACATCAATCTTCATAATCATAATCATCTGTACAATAGAGCAAAGAGAAAAAGAGAAAAAGAGACAAAAATTAGCTTTAGAGCTAAGTAAGATTCCACCCGAACCCGTAAAATAATATAATTTGGAAAATAGGTTTTTTTTATATGTATATATATCGAAAAGTAGTCTCTCATATTTCCAAAATGGTTTAATGTCATAAAATAATTTCCACAATAGATAATATCATCCTTCAATTCCTCCAAAAGTAATACTTTAGATTCTTTTAAGAGTGGGCGAAACTCAAGATTCCTCGAGCCCAATGAGTCGTTGTTATCTACGACTCATCCCGGAATTCCGGCTCCCACCGACCACCAATTGGAAGCTGAATTTCTACCTTAAGTGTGCACACCCTCTAAAAGGGATTCCAAGCCCTCCGAGTAGTAAGAAACCCAAGTAGGCGAGATGTTTTCTACCACCTACTCACAAGGGACATTGTCCAAGGGTAAATTAGGTAACTACTACTACGACCACCAAAGGATCTTTGATCCTCAAATAAAAGCCCGGGATGTCTACCGGAGTATGTCATTGCCGGACTGGTTACCGACCCAAATAAATTTCACCAAAAGTAGTAGTAGCCCTAACCACCCACGCCTCGTGTTTCTCTCGAGACGTAAGAATATATATTATGAAAACTTTAAGTTTTCCCCAAATCATTCTTGTCACAATTTCTCAAAAATATCCTTTGTAATAAATATAAATCCACCAATATTCTTTAATAAAAAGAATATACATTTAATCATCCATAAAAGGTAATAATCCACCAATATTCATATAGTCAAAATATTCGATCCATGTCAAACATATAATTTCCAATTCATAAATAATTCACATAGTGCAAATATTGCATACATATAAGTACGAGGCAAAACATTTTGGTTGACATAGAACTTACCTTAAATTGCGATAATCTCCTTAATAAAATCTCTAGCTTGATCTTCACTTGAATTCTCCTTCTAATATTGATCAAAATTCTAAATCAATAACTATTCTATTATTTCGTTATTTCTTTTATATCCAACCTTTAATTACTTTAACTTCATAATTCCTTCTTTAAATATAAATATTAAATTAATAAATCTTACTAACTGTTTACTTCCAGTTCATTCTTATTATTTTCTTTAATTATAATAACCCAACTCGGTTTTTCTTAATTTGTTTGTTTGGTTAAATAGTTAACTAGTCCAATTATATTACTACATAATAATTTCATTATTTCGAATTTAGATAATCAATTTCAGTTCAAAATTCAGTTTACATAATTTATATAATTTATTTAATAACCCTTTTAATAATAACTTGACTTAGGCAATAATTCGAAATAATAATCATTAATGATAATCTAATCTCAATAACAACTTTAATTAGTTCAATCGTTTATTTATACTAACTAACCCAATTAAATTAATTTATCCAATCCTCCAGTTTTATTTATTTGACTCACTAATTTAATTGAACTAACTAAATCAAATAAATAAGTTTAATTATATCAATATAGCTAAATACGTTAATCTAATTCAATTAAGTCCAATAATCAAATTCTAATCTCGATTTAATTTTCTATTTTTAATATAAAGTCCAGAGATGTTATCAAGTCTATAAATTAACTAATTTATCCATTAAACTAATTGATTTAGTTAACTAGTCCAATGAAGTCAATTAACTAACTTATTAAGTACACATTACTTAATTAATTTGTTTATATTCATCAACTAATTTTTTATGAGTTCAAATAGTTTAATAATTTATATGGAGTCCAAATCACTAATAATCAAGGATAATAATTATTAATTTAATCACGCTAATTTAATTAGTCAACTAATTCAATAATTTATTTATTAAGTCCAAATATAGTCATTCATTTATACTAGATAACCCAACTTTGTTTTCTTTTCCTTATTTTATTACAAACATCATTTTTAGTCCAGAACATTATTTTCAATCTTAGTGATTTATTTATTTCACCATTAATATCAAAATTTCCTTATTTAATTACTTAACTAGTTTATATGGCTCAATTAAATTAAATAACTTAATCATCACTTTTATAAATTACTAATCATCCATAACTATAGTTTGGGTCTATACTAGACCTAGGTTGTCCAGATATTTATTTTAGAATTATTTCCTTTATTTATTCACTTAATTTCATATATCTATTAACCGGTTTAATTACAATTAAATATGCTAATTATAATTTTTATTAATTATAAATGGTCCCAAATGTCCTATTTAGTCATATATTTAATCTAGCTTGCACCCATATTTATTTCATAATTATTTTCGTCATTTAGTTAATTATTTACTAAATGTGTACAACTTGGCCCAATTACAATTAAATCAATTAAAAATAGCTACAAATATTATTTTTCAATTATTCTTGGTCCGAATATGTATTTTTATACCAGGTATTTAATTTATATTTTTCCAGATTTTATTTATTTCATTTACTATTTTATTTTTAATTTTTTTTATTGAAAATGGGCCGAACCGGCCCAAATTCGCGACCCGGCCCAAGAAGACTGGGTTGTCTCCTTCCCAGCTTCTCTAGGTCGCGATTCCGGCGACCGGAATCCCGAAAACTCCGGCGAGCGATAACTTTACTTACAGGTAACGGATTTCGACGATTCCAGTTGCAAAATGATCCTCACGTCGAGGAGAAGCTCCGCCACCCCTATCTACGGCAAAATCGTGTCTTTTCTAAAGACCCGTTTCCACGGCTTGCAACTCCGGCGACCTCTAGGAAACTCCGGTGACTACGAATCGGTCTGGAATTTATTGGGAAGTATTCCTAGACCTCTCACGACCCTCCTCTATCGTTTTTACGAAGTTTGATACGTAAAATATTATAGGCATAAATTTTCCGGCGAGATTATGTATATATATGTATATGTATATATAGCTTCTATCTCTCCGATTTGCAGTGTTTAGGATGGCTAAGAGGGTGTATTTATAGGTCTAGATGGTCCTTATGGTTTATTTTATTTATTTGATAATTGTAATAATAATAATAATAATAATAATAATAATAATAATAATAATAATAATAATGTCTATACATAATGATAGGTTGGTAGTTGATGAACATGGCATGTGTATTGATCCCTGATTTGATTCCCATTTATATTGATGTTTCATTTTATTTTATTTTATTATTATTATTTTTAATTACTTAAATGTATTTTGAGTTTTACATATAAATATATGTACATAATGTATATACATTATTTGGTAGATGATCTTAGCATGTGTCATTGTTTTATGATATGATATTTTCATTTATTAATTTGATGCTATTATTAGTAATTTATAATATTCTTACTATTTTTATTTATTTATTTACTTATTATGTCACCTATATTTTATCTGATTTATTTCCATTTTTTTTCGATGCTACATAAGTGTTTAATTCTATTGCATGTAGTGTGCGTATATTTTTATACACCAAGTATAAAAAAATATTTTGATCTTACTTTCATTTGATTTATCAGATATAATTTATCTGATTTATTTATTTATTTTTATTTCAAATTTTCAAGGTATCACATTCTACCCTCCTTAAAGAATGCTTCGTCCTCGAAGCATAAACTAAGACGCGAATTAAGTATGAAGATGAAGTATTATAGGGTTATAAGATATGACAACCTGCCCCCCTAAAAGAAAGGTTACGTCCTCGTAACCGAATGTTTACCTTAATTGAAAAGTTCAGGATACCGTTTACGCATATCCTCTTCTGTCTCCCATGTTGCATTCTCGGTCAAATGGTTTGACCAAAGTACTTTTACCATCTTAACTGTCTTCTTCCTTGTCTCTCGGGTCTTAGTATCGAGAATCTCTATGGGTTTTTCTTCGTAGGATAATGTCTCATCCATTTCAATCACCTAATAATATAACGGTTAACTTATATTCTTTTCAATTTACGTTTGGCTCATGTTAAGTCTAGGATTTCTTACCTCCGGATTGATGATATGTGACTCATCTCGAACATACTTCTTTAATTGTGATACGTGAAAGACGTTATGTACCTAGCATATATCGGTATGTTAAGAATGTATTTTAATCGTAGAGAAGTATTTGATTTCAAATCGGTTGTTACCTTATCCAACTCCGTGGGTAGAGCTAATCGATATGCCACTTTTCCCACCTTCTCTAGGATGTCATAGGGTCCGATGAATCTCGGGCTTAGTTTCCCTTTCTTCCCGAACCTCATTACACCCCTTGTAGGAGAGACTTTGAGTAGAACTTTCTCCCCTAGTTCGAATTCAGCTGGTTTCCTCCCAAGATCGGCATATGATTTCTGTCGGTCTTGGGCAGCCTTCATCCTTTCTTGGATAACTTTGATTTTCTCAATAGTATCCTGCAAGTATTGTGGTCCTAGAACCACCTGATCGACCATGTCACCCCAACATAAGGGACTCCTACACTTTTGACCATATAGAGCTTCGTATGGGGCCATTCCGATGCTAGCATGGTAACTGTTATTGTACGAAAACTCTACCAAGTCTAGGTGTTCATCCCATGATCCTTGCAAATCAAGAACACATGCCCTCAACATGTCTTCTAATGTTTGGATTGTTCTTTCGGTCTGTCCGTCCGTGGTTGGATGGAAAGCAGTACTTAACTTCAATTTTGTTCCCATAGCCATTTGTAATTCTTTCCAAAATTGGGATAAGAATCGTGAATCTCGGTCTGACACGATGTCTTGAGGTACTCCGTGGTGTTTGACCACGTATTTGACGTAGGCTTTTGCCAGTTTCTCCATGCTCCAGGTTTCATTCATAGGAATGAACCTTGCAGTTTTGGTCAATCTATCCACTACCACCCAAATTTTATCTTTCCCGGACTTTGTTAAAGGTAAACCCCCGACAAAGTCCATTGAGATTGAATCCCATTTCCATGTTGGTACTTCCAAGGGTTGCACGAGTCCCTTGGGTTTGCATCTCTCCGCTTTGACTTTTTGGCAGTTCAAACATCGGGATATAAATTCAGCTACTTCTTTCTTCATTCCCGGCCACCAAAAGTTCTGTTTGAGGTCTTTGTATAGTTTGTCTCCCCCGGGATGTACCGAGTAGGGCGTGTTGTGTCCCTCCTCCATGATTTGTTTTTTAATATCTGCACACTTCAGTGGAACACACCACCTTCCCTTGTATCGGATGCTCCCATCTTCATGTACCTTAAATGGTCCGTTGACGCCATCTTTCATTCCTTCCTTGATTCTTTCGAGCTTTACATCTCCCGATTGTCCGTTCTTGATTTCGTCAAAGATAGATGGTATAACAGTCATAGTACATAACTGTATTTCACCATCTACTTCGCCATATTGCTTTACTTCCAAGCTCAATCTTTGGAAGTCTCGGAATAGTTCTTCTGGTAATATCCATGTTGCTCGGCATGAGTGCTCAGATTTCCGACTCAAAGCATCCGCCACCACGTTAGCTTTTCCCTCGTGGTATTGGATTTCTAGATCGTAATCATTGATAAGCTCGAGCCATCTTCTTTGCCTCATGTTAAGCTCTTTTTGAGTGAATATGTACTTCAAGCTTTTGTGGTCAGTGTATATCTTACAATGTGCTCCGTATAGGTAATGTCTCCAGATTTTCAAAGCAAACACTACTGCAGCTAACTCCAGGTCATGGGTAGGATAATTGACTTCATGCACCTTTAGTTGTCTTGATGCATAAGCCACCACTTTCCTATTCTGCATCAGCACACACCCCAACCCCTTCTTGGATGCATCACTATAGATATCAAATCCCTCCGTCCCTGACGGTAGTGTCAAGACCGGCGCAGTTGTGAGTCTTTTCTTCAACTCTTGGAATGCTGCTTCACAATCTTCATTCCATTGGAATTTGGTTGTCTTCTTTGTCAGGTTGGTTAGCGGTCTTGCTATCTTGGAGAAATCTTTAACAAATCTCCTATAGTATCCCGCTAGACCCAAGAAACTTCTTACCTCTGTGACCGAGGTAGGTGCACGCCATTCAACCACCGCTTCAATCTTCGATGGATCTACGGATACGCCTTCCTGGGTGATGATGTGACCCAAGAACGCTACCCGATCCTGCCAGAAGTCACACTTTGAGAGTTTGGCATACAACTGGTTCTCTCTCAAAGTTTGTAATGTGAGTCTCAAATGTTTCTTGTGATCTTCCGGGGTTTTTGAATACACAAGAATATCATCGATGAATACCACCACAAATGTGTCAAGGTAAGGTCGGAATACACGGTTCATTAGGTCCATGAATACCGCCGGTGCATTTGTTAAACCAAACGGCATCACAGTGAACTCGTAGTGTCCATACCTCGTGCGGAATGCTGTTTTTGGTACATCTTTTTCAGATATTCTCACTTGATGATATCCAGAGCGCAAGTCTATCTTAGAGAATGTGCTAGCCCCCTTCAATTGATCAAACAAGTCGTCAATTCGGGGCAATGGATACTTGTTCTTGATAGTTGCTTGATTCAACTCTCGGTAATCGATGCATAGCCTTAGACTCCCATCTTTCTTTTTGACAAATAAGACCGGAGCACCCCAAGGTGAGACACTCGGTCTTATGTACCCCTTCTCTAACAACTCCTCTAGTTGTTCCTTCAGCTCCTGCATTTCTTTCGGTGCCATCCGGTAAGGTGCTTTTGAAATTGGCGCGGTTCCGGGAATCAACTCAAATGAGAATTCAACTTCTCTCTCGGGTGGCATCCCTGGAATCTCTTCCGCAAATACATCCGGAAATTCATTGACTACGGCAATTTGGTCAATGTTTGGCTCCCCTGTATTCACCTCTTTCATAAAGCACATGTATGTTTCATACCCCTTTCGGATATGTTGCCTTAATTGTTGCATAGTCATCAGCCTCATACTAGGCTTGGATGTGATTGCTTTGTAAGATATTCGCTTCCCATTTGGACCCTTCAAGATCACCTTCTGTTCATCACAGAGGATCCTGGCTTTGTATTTCCCCAACCAATCCATGCCCAGCACTATGTCTATATCTTTTAAGTCAAATTGGATTAAATCTCCAGGTAGGTTGGATTCGGATATGATTATGGAAATGTTGGAGTATACATTTCCACAAGTTACGAATTTATCTGAGGCAGTTCTTACATTCAAGTCTATTCTAGCCGTTGGTTCAATCTTCAATTTCTTAACGAAACTAGAAGATATGAAACTGTGAGAAGCACCAGAATCAAATAGAACATAAGCAGGCTCAGAATTTACAAGGAATGTACCTGAAACCACATCATTAGCATTGGCTTGGGCCTGATTCATCACCATGATTCGCCCTTGGTTCGGACGGTTGCCGTTGTTTCCGCCGTTGCCATTGTTCCCGCCATTGCCATTGCCACGATTATTCTCCCCTCCTCCTTGAGGGTTGCGGTTGTTGTTGTTGGCGGCGGCATTGTTGTTGTTATTTGGTCCTCCATTTGGCCCAGTTTGGTTCATATCTGGTCTTCCTCCATCACGGTATTGCACCTGGTTCACTGGTGCCCCATTGGTCTTTGAGAGACACTCGAAGGTTCGGTGCCCTAGCTTCCCACAATTGAAACATTTTGTTAGGCTTCCATCGCAGTTAACACCGGGATGATCTCTCCCGCACCTCTTGCAGTAGAAGTGTCTATCTCTGGGAGCAGCTCTTCGATCATTTTGTTGGTTTTGACCGTGGAAATTTCTTCCACCTTGGTCATCTCTCCTCCTCCTCCCTTCTTGTTGCTGTGTAGGTGGGTGCACTCTAACCCTCTTTTCTCCTCGACCTCCATCTTCGTCCCTCTTCATCTTCTGGTTCCTCTCTCTTTGTAGTTGCTGAACTCGATAGTGAACTGCAGCTCTATCATAAGCTTCAGTCAGAGTTTGGCAACCCAAAACAGCGACGATTTTCTGCGTATCATAGTTTAATCCGTAGATAAATTTCTCAACTTTGGTGCTTTCATCAGGCACTATTGTTTTCGCAAATGGTGCGAGGTCCACGAATTTATTGTGATATTCCTGGACACTCATGCCCATCTGTTTCAAATGTATGAATTCATCACGCATGGTGGCCTGAACGTGTGCAGGATAAAAACGTTTCCTCATGGCAATCTTGAAAGCTTCCCAATTGAAGTCAGGTTGTTGACGTAAAGTTGGGCCTGATGAGACCCACCAGTTATCTGCCTCTTGCTGTAAATAGTAAACAGCAATGTCAACCCTTTGCTCTTCCGGACAGCTCACCGCGTCGAAGAGTTTGTCAAAGAGTCGGAGCCAATTCTCGAGGATACGAGGATCTTCTTGCCCATGAAAGCTTGGAGGGTTGCGAGATGCCACTCGTTTTGCGGCATCATTCCCGTTGTTCTGGTTTTGGTTGTTCTGGAGCACAGTAGCACCCAGTGTGTGCATAAATTGTGCCAGTTGCTGAACGCTTTGTGCCAACTCAGCATTGGTGGGCGTGTTATCAGGGTCTCTTCTTGGTGCCATGATATCTTGATGACACAAAGTATTCGTGTAAGAATTTCTATATTTTACTCCTAAGGATCCTAGTTCAACTAAGGATTCCATAGGCTATGTAACAAGAATATATAAAAATGTACATAACAATCATACAGAGGATTCATACTTCACATAAGATCACTTTCGCACATAATGTTTGTACATACCTTAGCCACTTAGGAATTTTGCCTTATGAGGCATTCCATTTAGCATTTGGGGTTCCCATTTCTCATATGGGCCCACAATTAGCATAATTATCACATACATGATACATGTAAGGAAAATAAATACTCACAAGGTCCTCACCACGTTCCTAAAAGGCCATTTCCTAGCTATATTATCCTTCCTAGTCTTAAAAATATTTGAAAATCTCCCTTTTGAAGGTACAATCTCAAAGGTTTCCTTCAATGATTTTGAACAACGAAGTTTCAGCACAAGGAGAAATTCCCAGGTAGTTGGACGAGCGCAAAGGCTCAATTAAGAACCAACAGCCTTAGACTCTTATCGTCTTGGTGACAGAATTTCTCCATACAACCTATTACCTCGTGTACAAATCCTTTAGGAAAACCTAAGTCTCTGATACCAACTTGTAACACCCCCATTTTTCCCACCAAAATAAAATAACATTTTGAAATGAAAACATCTTTATTATAAAATATATTTAGAGTACAGCGGAAGTCTTTAATGGAAAAACAGGTGTGTCACCGCCACACTCAACCTATACATGATTGAGTGCACAGGCTATCCACCATAAATTCAAGTAGCCATCGGGTAAAACTTATAACAAGTTTATGGATTACAAATTTAAACAATAACAATTAATCAAACGTGTGCAACTAGCGGAACACTCGGGCAGCAAGTACATCAATCTTCATAATCATAATCATCTGTACAATAGAGCAAAGAGAAAAAGAGAAAAAGAGACAAAAATTAGCTTTAGAGCTAAGTAAGATTCCACCCGAACCCGTAAAATAATATAATTTGGAAAATAGGTTTTTTTTATATGTATATATATCGAAAAGTAGTCTCTCATATTTCCAAAATGGTTTAATGTCATAAAATAATTTCCACAATAGATAATATCATCCTTCAATTCCTCCAAAAGTAATACTTTAGATTCTTTTAAGAGTGGGCGAAACTCAAGATTCCTCGAGCCCAATGAGTCGTTGTTATCTACGACTCATCCCGGAATTCCGGCTCCCACCGACCACCAATTGGAAGCTGAATTTCTACCTTAAGTGTGCACACCCTCTAAAAGGGATTCCAAGCCCTCCGAGTAGTAAGAAACCCAAGTAGGCGAGATGTTTTCTACCACCTACTCACAAGGGACATTGTCCAAGGGTAAATTAGGTAACTACTACTACGACCACCAAAGGATCTTTGATCCTCAAATAAAAGCCCGGGATGTCTACCGGAGTATGTCATTGCCGGACTGGTTACCGACCCAAATAAATTTCACCAAAAGTAGTAGTAGCCCTAACCACCCACGCCTCGTGTTTCTCTCGAGACGTAAGAATATATATTATGAAAACTTTAAGTTTTCCCCAAATCATTCTTGTCACAATTTCTCAAAAATATCCTTTGTAATAAATATAAATCCACCAATATTCTTTAATAAAAAGAATATACATTTAATCATCCATAAAAGGTAATAATCCACCAATATTCATATAGTCAAAATATTCGATCCATGTCAAACATATAATTTCCAATTCATAAATAATTCACATAGTGCAAATATTGCATACATATAAGTACGAGGCAAAACATTTTGGTTGACATAGAACTTACCTTAAATTGCGATAATCTCCTTAATAAAATCTCTAGCTTGATCTTCACTTGAATTCTCCTTCTAATATTGATCAAAATTCTAAATCAATAACTATTCTATTATTTCGTTATTTCTTTTATATCCAACCTTTAATTACTTTAACTTCATAATTCCTTCTTTAAATATAAATATTAAATTAATAAATCTTACTAACTGTTTACTTCCAGTTCATTCTTATTATTTTCTTTAATTATAATAACCCAACTCGGTTTTTCTTAATTTGTTTGTTTGGTTAAATAGTTAACTAGTCCAATTATATTACTACATAATAATTTCATTATTTCGAATTTAGATAATCAATTTCAGTTCAAAATTCAGTTTACATAATTTATATAATTTATTTAATAACCCTTTTAATAATAACTTGACTTAGGCAATAATTCGAAATAATAATCATTAATGATAATCTAATCTCAATAACAACTTTAATTAGTTCAATCGTTTATTTATACTAACTAACCCAATTAAATTAATTTATCCAATCCTCCAGTTTTATTTATTTGACTCACTAATTTAATTGAACTAACTAAATCAAATAAATAAGTTTAATTATATCAATATAGCTAAATACGTTAATCTAATTCAATTAAGTCCAATAATCAAATTCTAATCTCGATTTAATTTTCTATTTTTAATATAAAGTCCAGAGATGTTATCAAGTCTATAAATTAACTAATTTATCCATTAAACTAATTGATTTAGTTAACTAGTCCAATGAAGTCAATTAACTAACTTATTAAGTACACATTACTTAATTAATTTGTTTATATTCATCAACTAATTTTTTATGAGTTCAAATAGTTTAATAATTTATATGGAGTCCAAATCACTAATAATCAAGGATAATAATTATTAATTTAATCACGCTAATTTAATTAGTCAACTAATTCAATAATTTATTTATTAAGTCCAAATATAGTCATTCATTTATACTAGATAACCCAACTTTGTTTTCTTTTCCTTATTTTATTACAAACATCATTTTTAGTCCAGAACATTATTTTCAATCTTAGTGATTTATTTATTTCACCATTAATATCAAAATTTCCTTATTTAATTACTTAACTAGTTTATATGGCTCAATTAAATTAAATAACTTAATCATCACTTTTATAAATTACTAATCATCCATAACTATAGTTTGGGTCTATACTAGACCTAGGTTGTCCAGATATTTATTTTAGAATTATTTCCTTTATTTATTCACTTAATTTCATATATCTATTAACCGGTTTAATTACAATTAAATATGCTAATTATAATTTTTATTAATTATAAATGGTCCCAAATGTCCTATTTAGTCATATATTTAATCTAGCTTGCACCCATATTTATTTCATAATTATTTTCGTCATTTAGTTAATTATTTACTAAATGTGTACAACTTGGCCCAATTACAATTAAATCAATTAAAAATAGCTACAAATATTATTTTTCAATTATTCTTGGTCCGAATATGTATTTTTATACCAGGTATTTAATTTATATTTTTCCAGATTTTATTTATTTCATTTACTATTTTATTTTTAATTTTTTTTATTGAAAATGGGCCGAACCGGCCCAAATTCGCGACCCGGCCCAAGAAGACTGGGTTGTCTCCTTCCCAGCTTCTCTAGGTCGCGATTCCGGCGACCGGAATCCCGAAAACTCCGGCGAGCGATAACTTTACTTACAGGTAACGGATTTCGACGATTCCAGTTGCAAAATGATCCTCACGTCGAGGAGAAGCTCCGCCACCCCTATCTACGGCAAAATCGTGTCTTTTCTAAAGACCCGTTTCCACGGCTTGCAACTCCGGCGACCTCTAGGAAACTCCGGTGACTACGAATCGGTCTGGAATTTATTGGGAAGTATTCCTAGACCTCTCACGACCCTCCTCTATCGTTTTTACGAAGTTTGATACGTAAAATATTATAGGCATAAATTTTCCGGCGAGATTATGTATATATATGTATATGTATATATAGCTTCTATCTCTCCGATTTGCAGTGTTTAGGATGGCTAAGAGGGTGTATTTATAGGTCTAGATGGTCCTTATGGTTTATTTTATTTATTTGATAATTGTAATAATAATAATAATAATAATAATAATAATAATAATAATAATAATAATAATAATAATAATGTCTATACATAATGATAGGTTGGTAGTTGATGAACATGGCATGTGTATTGATCCCTGATTTGATTCCCATTTATATTGATGTTTCATTTTATTTTATTTTATTATTATTATTTTTAATTACTTAAATGTATTTTGAGTTTTACATATAAATATATGTACATAATGTATATACATTATTTGGTAGATGATCTTAGCATGTGTCATTGTTTTATGATATGATATTTTCATTTATTAATTTGATGCTATTATTAGTAATTTATAATATTCTTACTATTTTTATTTATTTATTTACTTATTATGTCACCTATATTTTATCTGATTTATTTCCATTTTTTTTCGATGCTACATAAGTGTTTAATTCTATTGCATGTAGTGTGCGTATATTTTTATACACCAAGTATAAAAAAATATTTTGATCTTACTTTCATTTGATTTATCAGATATAATTTATCTGATTTATTTATTTATTTTTATTTCAAATTTTCAAGGTATCACAATTATAATGTGTTTGTGGAGTCATCAAAATGACGAAATTGGATGAATTTCTAGAGGCAAATGCGTGTTTGAAATAATAAGGTATGTACATGTATTTCTTTGGGATTTTTTTGTAATACATGTCAAATTTAATAGGGTATTAGTTTATTTAAAGCATTACACTTGTTATAATAAATCATTTTAAGTATGTAATAGATATTTATGTCCTTAACTAATTGTATCATTATATATAGTTGATTAGTCCATGTATTATGAATTGTTTTAATTCATTTATTAAATGAAGTTTGTGAATATATATTAACTTTAAGTAATTAATGTTAGTGTAGGAATTGAATGGAGCTATTTCTTAATATAATATTACATATACATATATATATATATATATATATATATATATATATATATATATATATATATATATATATATATATATATAGATAAATTATAAATTGGATGTACAATGGAAGATATTGCAGAGAATAATAAGAAGGACTAAATATATTTGACATAATTATTTTTTATACGGAGTATTAAACATATGTATAAAAAAGAAAACTACCAATTAGAGTGTTGCTATTTTCTCCCTAATTGCATATGATAGTATTTACAATATGATTTTATTTCTGACCAAATCAACACATTTCGCATAATTACATTCAATAAGTGTATAACGTTATATTCGTATACTACGGTATTTTATTATCAATGTGTATTCAATTAAGAGCAAATAGGTTGTATACAAATATACCGTAGTATATTCGTATACTACGGTATTTTATTATCAATGTGTATTCAATTAGAAGACAGAAACTCGAAGGTGTTCTTAACATTTTCAAATAGGTTGCCAAACAGGTTTCAAAAGTCGGTGGAGAATTTCAAATTTAGATCATGTGTAGCACTGCTGAGTTTCGATCATGCGACCTGTAGTCATACCGTATGTCCGCCCCTGATCTCATTATATATAGTTAATTATTAGTCCATTATTATTGTATAATTTCATGTATTTAAATTTTTATTTATGTGTTAACTTTTAGTAATCAATGTTAGTGTAGGAATTGAATGAAGCTATTTTTTAATACGGAGTATAATACATCACACGCACACATATTGGGAATATACAAAATATATATATGTATGTGTGTGTGTGTGTGTGTAAAATGGACATGTATAAATAATATATATTTATGTCGTTACATAACAGTATCATTATTTATAGTTCATTATATATTATGCCTAAGTAATGAATAATGTTAGTGTTGCAATAGGGTTTTTTCTAATATAATATGTCAAATATATTCAGGTATAATGTATAGACAAATTAGAAGTTGGATGTACAATAGGTATGATGAAAATAGAGGTTATCGGACAGAATTTCTTGCCGGTGTTGCTGAATTTCTCGCTTTTGCACTTGGACAAACACAGTATAAGGATGGTGATAAAATAAGATGTCCTTGCATTAAGTGTAAAAACCTTAAATACCTTTCTTCTCAGAGTGTTGAATGGCATTTGTGGACGAGAGGCTTTGTTGACAATTATTATAATTGAACTTCTCATGGCGAACCATTCGACCCATCACTTTTACCCATCAAATTTTGAATATTTCAATACAATTTTCAATGTTGTCAGGGAATTATCCCTGACTATATAATTTGAATACTATCCGAATTTTGAAATTTGACAGGGATTTTTCCCTAACAACGGAAAGCAAATCCCGGATAATTACATTGAATGTAGTCGGGGATTCGAATCCCTGACTAATCTCGCCGGCGACTGGTACTCATTTATAAAGGATAAATCCCTTACAATTCCCTGACAACTTTTGTTAGGGATTATAAATCCCTAACAATAGTTTTGTCAGGGCGCTAGAGTTACGAATGAGATGCCTGACAAAATCCCTCACAAAATCATTTGTTAGGGATTTTTTGAACTCTGATCCCTAACAACATCTGTGACTATTCCAATGTTTTTTTGTAGTGTGACCGGTTTCCGGGTCGAACCGGCCGGTCCGGTTCGGGTCTTTCAACACAATAAATAACTAAACTAAAAAAGTGAACGTAATATAAAAATAGATAAGAAAACACACACACACACATATATATATTTATAAGAAATATATAAAAATTTTAATTATTATACATAACGGTTCCTTAACGGTTCCGGGTACATATTGTTTTCAGGAACCGAGAACCCAAACGTTAATGACAAGTAGGAACCGAACCATTAACAAATAACTAATAAATGTTAGAACCAAACCAAACCGGATCATAATGGTTAGGTCCGGTTCGGTTTTCCGGTTCTTGGTTTCAAAGTCCCAGCCCTAGTATTGCTGATTTGTTGCATAGCCGGTGAGTGTAGTTCAATTGGTGGATAGAAAGTGCCACAAGGAGTAAGTCTCGATTCGAATCCCGACAACTACGTTGAGAGATTACTATGTGAAAATGCATAGGGACTCTACAAGTATCAGAGCTTCACTCTCTATCTACAAACTTGTGATTAAAATTCAATTTACATCATCCCAGTAAATCGTCCGGCTAGTCATGAGGACCCCTCAAGGATGGGGTGTCATCCACTTTTTGTTGTATTGTTGGCGTAAGAATAAGCTTTTGTTTCTGAATAAGGCATATGAAAAGTCACTTTTGGGTTTTAATCCAAATCAACTACAACCCAAAATAAGGAAAACACTCCATCCTTGAGATCCTTAGGATCGGCAAGGCATTCATTTGAACATATGTAAATTAAGCTTTGATTATAGACCAGTGGAGAGAGAATGAGATTCCAATTCATGATTTTGCTTAAAATTATACCCTAGTCTTATCTATTGTGATACTCTCTTTTCACTAGTTGAGCTATACCCTGACACAATGCACAAAATATAATACTACGTATATTAGGAGGTGCCAAAATAGTTCCATATAAGGCACCCAAGGTGGGGGGATTAGCACCCCCATTTACCCACATGAACACTACGAGGTCGTTTGACAACATTGTTTTTCAACTTATCAGGCTTATAGCCAACTTTTTCACCAAACATGTAACTTTTGCTTTCGTACGCTGAATTATCTCATAAGCAGAAAAAGTAAGGTTGAAGTTACTTTTCTGGCTGTATTTGCTGAAGTTGATGGAGATGATCATTTTAACTATTTTACATATAACTTTTTCTTTATTTTATTGATAAGATATATTTTAAAAATATTTTTTTCTTAAATTAGCATAATCAGCCGATTCAGTCACTTCAGCCAGAACTTCATAAATTTCAGCAGAATCAACCAAATCAGCCAATTTCGTATTACCAAACGGGCTCTACAACAAGCAGGAGAGACATAGAAGAGAAACCGGGCAGACATCGTGACAGGACGTGGATCCAAGAAAACATCTCTTTTCTTTAAAATGTCATAACCTTGTTATCTGTACTCCGCTATATATACAATAACTATATTGAAATTCATAATTTTTTATGATCTTCACTTTTTATATGATATTTATATGACACCAATATTGCATACATAAAGTTCAAATACACACACACACACACATATATATATATATATATGGATGAAATTGGATACAAAGTATATTTCCCATACAAAATACAAATTCATCTCAGTCATCCAAAATTACAAAATCAAGGGCACTAATTGTTTGGTTGGTTAATTTCAGCCGTTAGCTCCAATTATGGGAAATCAAGGAAAGCTTTCCTATTTTGTAGCAACTAAATATGGTTAGTGAGGGAGGTTTTCCCATGAATACACGGTCATCTCACTCATATGAATGGCTAGGATTAATTTGCATTTTGTAAATTAGGATGACTTTGTATTTGATCCTAAGTCTGTAGTGTGTGTGCGCGCGCGCGTGTGCGTGCGTGCGAGCGCACGCGTGTGTGAAGTTTCAACTGCTACAGGTTTTCAGACTTTTTTTGTTAACTAGATCCAAGTGCTAAAATTAAGATCTCGTGATTTTTTTTAAATCTTTTATTTACTTTTTTCCAAAACAAGTGATCTGAAGTAACCACAAAAAAATAAACTCCAAATTTATTTCTTTTTACATTGGAATGTTTGACTTTTAAATCATAATATTCGCAAAAACATGAAAAAAATGATGGATAATAAAAGCAAGACTTTAACTTAGAAAATTGCTAAGTGAATATTGATGATACTGGATTGGAGTAAAAAATGAAATGGACAAAATGAATATTAAATTTCCATACAAATTGATGAGGAATTCAATTAGCAACGTTAACGATTAACAAGTGGTGATGGCAACGGGGTGAATCGGGAACGGTTTTACACTGTACTCGCCCTGTTGGGCAATTCCCCTGCCTCGTAACCGCCCCATTACCCAATGGGTAATTTTTATTCAAAC